ATAGATTATCAGAAGGTCAACGCTATGACAAAATCTCACTCATACCCAATTCCAAAGCCGGAGGATTGTGTGGTAAAAGTAAGACAAGCCATTTACATCACAAAGTTGGACTTATTTTGTGTTTACTGGAAAGTACCTTTTGTCGGAGAGAGAGAAAGAAGCTTCTACTCCAACTGGGCTGTGTCACTTTGAAGTCATGCCCTTTGGAATGAAAAATGCACCAGCCATTCTTCAAAGGCTTTATAAACAGAGTTGTTGCAGAATTGACTAATTGTACCGCCTACATAGATGACTTAGTGATCTTTAGCCATTTGCAGGAAGATCACATGGAGTATTTGACGGAGCTCTTTGACAGACTACGGAAGGCAAAGTTGGTTGTAGACTTGGAACAGAGTTTGCGAAGGCAGAAGTGACATTCTTAGGGCACAATATCGGGCACGGAAGGGTGACACTGAGGAACGTGAAGACGAAGACCATCGAGGACCTCGGAAAAAGAAGTGATACATTTTTTGGGATTGAGTGGGTTCTACAGGAAATTTGTACCAAACTTTAGTAGGGTGGTAGCACTGCTGATGGATTTGTAGAAAAGAACACAAAATTTCGGTGGACAGAACAATGCCAGGAGGCATTTGAGAATTTAAAAGCAGCGTTAAACACCGCACCAGTTTTAGCCACACCAAATTTCTTGAAACCCTTTAAATTTGCTGTTGATGCAAGCGATGTAGGTATTGGAGCTGTGTTGTTACAGGAGGATGATTGTGGAATAGAAAGTCCAAACAGCTATTTTTCAGAAATTCAATATCCACCAGAAAAAATATTCAACTGTTGAAAAAGTGTTATTGAGTTTGGTAATGGCCTTATGACATTTTAATGCTTACGTTGCAAACAATGTATCAGAGACAGTTTTGTACACTGATCACAATCCTTGGACATTTCTGGAAAGATTTAAGGAGGAGAACACCAGATTATTTCATTGGAGTCTTATGTTACAAGTATTTAATTTACAGATTGTACATGCTACGGGTTGTGAACATATTCTCACAGGTGCTTTATCACGAGTTTAAAACAGAAATGTTTATACGAGATAGAAACGGCAGTGTTCTATGTTATATTTTAACAGAATTAGTGCAAAATGTGTAACTCATGATTTAATAAGCGATAGATTTACTAATAATGAAGTTAAGGTTTCCAAAAAAAAGAAATGAAGCCATCTTTTCATCATGATGGTTCATTGTTTTCTTAAGGGGGGCGGTATTGTGAAATTGGGTACGGGTAGGCGATGGCCTAGTGGTATTATCACTAGACTATTAATCCAAAAACCCAGGTAATGTTCTGGGGATCTGGCTTCGAATCCTGCCATGGCAGTTGGTGGAATTTGAATTCAATTTTAAAAAAAATCTGGAATTAAGGATTTACTGATCACCATGAAATCATTGTCGATTGTCAGGAAAACCCCATCTGGTTCACTAATGCCCTTCCGGGAAGGAAATATGCCATCCTCACCAGGTGTGGCTGATATGTAACTCCAGACCCACAGCAATATAGTTGACTCTCAATTGCCCTCTGAAATGGCCCAGCAAGCCACTCAGTTGTACCAATCGCTACAAAGACTCAAAGAAATGAAACTGGATGGATCACCTGGGTCTGTGGCAGGTGGTGAGGGAACCACCAAGAGGGAAAAACATACTTGACCTCATCCTTACCAATCTGCCAGCTGCAGTTGCATCTGTCCATGACAGTATCGGTAAGAGTGACCATCGCACAGTCCTTGTGGAGAGAGAGTCCCTCCTTCACATTGAGAATAACTTGTATCATGTTTGGCACTATCACCGTGCTAAATGGGGCAGACTTTGCACTGATCTAGCCACTCAAGTCTGGGTATCCATGAGGCACTGTGGGCCATCAACAGCAGCAGAATTGTACTCCAGCACAATCTGTAACATGGCCCAACATATCCCACTCTCAAACATTACCATGAAGCCAGGGGATCAACTCTGGTTCAATGAAGAGTGCAGGAGGGTATGCCAGGAGCAGCACCAGGCATACCTGAAGACGAGGTATCAATTTAGTGAAGCCACTGACCTGGCAAAACACTAAAGTTGCACACCAAACAGCACAAGCAGCAAGTGATAGACAGAGCTTAATGATTCCACAACCAACGGATCAGATCTAAGCTCTGTAGTCCTGCCACATCCAGTCATGAATGGAGGTGGTGGACAATTAAACAACTCACTGGAGGAGGAAGCTCCACAAATATCTCCATCCTCAATGATGGAAGAGTTCAGCACATCAGTGCAAAAGATAAAGCTGAAGCTTTCGCAGCAATCTTCAGCCAGAAGTGCTGAGTGGATGATCCCTCTCGACCTCCTCCAGTGGTCCCCAGCATTACAGACACCAGTCTTCAGCCAATTCGATTCACTGCACGTGATCTCAAGAACCGTTGGAGACACTGGATGCAGCAAAGGCTATGGGCCCTGACAACATTCTGGCATCAGTACTGAAGACTTGTGCTCCAGAACTTGCCGCTCCCCTAGCCAAGTTCTTCCACTACAGTTATAACACTGGTATGTGGAAAATTGCCCAGGTATGTCATGTACACAAAAAGCAGGAAAAATCGAACCCGGCCAATTACCGCCCCATCAGTCTCCTCTCGATCACCACTAAAGTGTTGGAAGGTGTCATCAACAGCGCTATCAAGCAGCACCTGCTCAGAATAACCTGCTCAGAGATGCCCAGTTTGGGTTCCGCCAGGGCCACTCAGTTCCTAACCTCATTACAATCCTTGGTTCAGATGTAAACAAAAGAGTTCAATTCCAGAGGTGAGGTGAGAGTGACAGCCCTTTACATCAAGGCTGCATTCGACCAAGTGTGGCATCAAGGAGCCCTAGCAAAACTGGAATCAGTGGGTATCAGGGGACAAATTCTCCAGTGGTTGTAGTCATACCTGATACGTAGGAAGATGGTCGTGGTTGTTAGGAGTCAATCATCTCAGCTCCAGGACATCTCTGCAGGAGTTCCTCAGGGTAGTGTCCTAGGCTCAACCATTTTCAGCTGCTTCATCAATGACCTTCCCTCCATCATAAGGTCAGAAGTGGGGATATTCGCCGATCATTGTACAATGTTCAGCACCATTCATGACTCTTCAGATACTGAAGTAGTCCATGTTCACATGCAACAAGATCTGGACAATATCCAGGCTTGGGCTGCCAAGTTGCAAGTAACCTTCGCGCCACACAAATGCCAGGCTATGACCATCACCAATAAGAGACAATCTAACTTCCATCCCTTGGCATTCAACGGTGTTACCATCACTGAATACCCCACTGTCAACATCCTGGGGGCTAACATTGACCAGAAACTCGACTGGATCATCCCATTAACACAGTGGCTACAAGAGCAAGTCAGAAGCCAGCAATACGATGGTGAGTAACTGACCTCCTGACTGCCCAGAGTCTGTCCACCATCTACAAGGCAAAAGTCAGGAATGTGATGGAATACTCCCCGCTTACCTGGATGGGTGCAGCTCCAACAACACTCAAGAAGCTTGACGCCATCCAGGACGAAGCAGCCCGCTTGATTGGCACTACATCCACAAGCATTCACACTGTCCACCACTCAGTAGCAGCAGTATGTACTGACTACAAGATGCACTGCAGAAATTCACCAAAGATCCTCAGACAGCACCTTCCAAACCCACGACCACTTCCATCTAGAAGGACAAGGGCGGCAGATATATGGGAACACCACCACCTTCAAGTTCCCCTCCAAGTCACTCAGCCATCCTGACTTGGATATACATCACCGTTCCTTCACTGTCCTGGAATTCCCTCCCTAATAGCTGTGGGTCACCCCACAGCAGGAGGCCTGCAGTGGTTCAAGAAGGCAGCTCACCACCACCTTCTCAAGGGCAACTAGGGATGGGCAAGAAATGCTGGCTAGCCAGCGACACCCACATCCCACAAATGAATTAAAAAAAACTAAAGTTGGGTAGAGTACTTGTGGATTGGGAGGCAGGAATTTAGAATTTGGTGTTCGTAAAATGCTGGGGGGAGAGCATTGTGTGGTCTCTTTAAAAGGTCATGTGCTTTTTCTGTGCTTAGAGATTTCAAATAGATGTTTGTGAGCCGCAGCTTGAAAGTTTGCAAGTACACAGAGCGCACGCGACTTGAAATATTTATACCGAAAGGCCGTAGAGGTAGCAGGCCAAACAACAGTTTTACCAAGATAACAGCTTTTGAATTTAGCCAATCAGTTTGAACCAAGTACTTGGATATCAAAAAATTCTTAAATTTAAGTCCTATTTTAAGAAATAGTGATATGTCATTAAGGGTATAAAAAGAAAGGGGCAATTGGACAGAGACCCCAAAGCTAGCTGCCATCTGCCAAAGCTAATGGTGCTCAGCTCTTGAGAGAATCGCTGGCTCTTGTAGCCTCCTCTGTCTTCGAGAAAGCAACATCTAAATAACAACGTTATCGACGGCACAAGTAGTTAATATTCCTGACAGAAGAATCAACAGAGAAGGCACAGAACATTCTGGAAGATACTTAATCTGGCTGTAATTTCGATAGACTAAATTCTATATTTTTTAACATATATAAGTGGGTCTTGTATTTATTGGAACAACATACCATTAGAATCTTGCTTTATTTAGGAATAGTTAGTAGGTAGAAGGAATTTATTTGGTTTGTTAACAGTTTAGTTAATTTGTCCACTGTTAGAGTTAGATAAATAAATTGTTACTTGTTGATTGTAAAGTGAGTGTCAGGGGTTTATTTTCTTTTAACCACTAGAAGTTACTGAAAGGCAGGTTACACCACTTTCACACTCCTTTTACAGATTATACAGCAAGGGGCTCCTGTTTGGGTGTTTCGGTTTTAGGTCTCAGACATCCACTTTGTAGCAATCTGTAATCATGGTGCAAATTGACATCTTAAGGAGGAAAAGCTGGCCTTACCCTTGCTGATCAATCTCGTTTAATCTTCTTTTCTTGATGCTGCAGGTGATGGCAGGTGACTCTTGTCACAGCGGACAATTTACATTGGAGGGCGACTGCTGTGACCTCTGTCCTGCAGGTCATGGTGTCATTAAAGAGTGTAACACCACCAATACCCAATGTCAGCCTTGTGAGGATGGTAAGTATGTACAGTCAGTCTGTAACCGCTTAAGGTAATGTTGGCTTTCTTCCCTCTCTGCTTCCCCACCTTTTCTCCCCCTTCTCAAACTATGTGTGTATTGTTCATTGCACTAGTTTGTTTTGAAATCACCTCGTATGCTTTAGTCCTCAATCACAGAACTACTCAGCCCGGATAAAGCAAATGAGCATCTCACTTAGTGCTGTTCTTCTGTCTTCTCCCTACAACCTAAACATTGCTCCTTTTCAAATAACATCTAATTCGCTTTTGATTCCTCTACTGAACCTGCCACCGCCATGCTCTCTGGCAGTATATTCCAGACTCTAATCACTTGCTGTATTTTTTAACCTTCCTTTAGCAATTACTTCAAATTTGTGCTCTTTGTTTTCAATCATTTGTGAGTGGGAGTATTTTCTCACTGTTTACTCTGTCTAAATGCCTTGTAATCAGATCTCTTTGCAGCTCTCTTCTCCACGGGAAATAGTCATAAAGCTTCTCCAATCTATCTTAAGAAACGTTAATTCCTCGTTCCTGGAACCATTCTTAGAAGTCACATCTGCACTCTCTCCAATACCTTTCCATCCGCCCTAAAGTGCAGTGGCCAGAACTGGACACAATTCTTCAGCTGAGGCCAAACTAGCTTCTTAACAAAATAAAAACTGAAAGAACTGCGGATGCTGTAAATCAGGAACACAGACAGAAGTTGCTGGAAAAGCTCAGCAGGTCTGGCAGCATCTGTGAAGAAAATAACAGTTAACGTTTCGGGTCTGGTGACCCTTCCTCACAACTGAGAAAGTTCTGAGGAAGGGTCACCGGACCCAAAACGTTTACTGTTTCTTTCTTCACAGATGCTGCCAGACCTGCTGAGCTTTTCCAGCAACTTTGTTTTAGTTTCTTAACAAGTTCAATGTAAACTTCTTGCTCTTGTACTCTATGCCTCTGTTAATAAAACCAGGATACGGTCTGGTATTTTTTAACTGCTCTCTCAACCTGTTGGCCGTCGTTAATGCTTTTATGGATAGATGATGGAACAATGATAAAATCACTGGAATAAGTTATCCAGTGGCCTACAGTAATGCTTTTGGACAGGATTCTAATCCTTCCATAGCAGCTGGTGGAATTTAAATTCTGTTTTAAAGCTAGTTCCAGCAATGGTTTCCTGATGAAAAGTTATCAATTGCTTTATTTTAAAAATCGCCATCTGGTTCAATGCCCTTTAGGGAAATCAATCTGCCACCCATGTATGGTCTGGCTGATATGTAGCTCCAGATCCACAGCAATGTAGGGTTGACTCTTTGAACTGGCCCAGCTGGTCATTCAGTTTAAAGGGCAGTTAGGATGGGCAACAAATGGTGCCCTTGCCAGTAATGTCCATATCCAATAAAATAATAAAGACCTCTGTGGTCCTGCAGCCATTTTAAAGTTGTACCCTTTATTTTGTTATTGTCCTTTCAAGTTTTTTGACCGAAATGTATCACCAAAAAACATTCATTAATGACAGTCAGAATCTTTTTCCCAGAGTTGAAATGTCTAATACTAAGGGGCATGCATTTAAGACAGAGGGGGAAAGGTCAAAGGAGACGTGAGGGGCTGCCTAGCCAGCCACGCCCTCATCCCTCATAAAGAATAAAAACTATAACGTGTGTTGAAGTTGTGAGAACATGTTGCACTGTTGAAGGTGCATCCCTTCAGATGGACCTCCCTACCCCCAGGCACTTGAGTGGTTGCAAAGCATAAAGTGGCATTATTCCGAAGAAGAGCAGATAAGATTTCCCAGGCTCCTGAACATTTGTTACTGTTCTATTAATGTCAGATTATCCAGTCACTTTTTTAATAGTTTTAAGATATTGCTGTGTGCAGATTTGGTGCCAGATGTTACAAATAGTGACTATACACAAAAGTATTTCACTGACTGCGAAGTACTTCAGTGGTTTTGGGGATTGTGAAAAGTGCAAATTCTTTATCTATTTACAAATTGTATGGGTTGGTAGGAGAGTATTTGGGAATTAAAACTGGGAACACTCCTAGATTGTACTAATTCCATTTCCTTGCTTGTTTTATTGCAGGTGTGACTTTCTCACCCAGTGCCAGCTTCTCTCATTGCCAGCCCTGCTCAAGCTGTCCTGACAAGATGGAGATCCTGTCCCTTTGCAACGCCACGTTTGACACCCAGTGTCAGTGCATGGAAGGGTACTACCTGCAGGCTGGTAGCAGGAGCTGTGTGCCATGTTCCATCTGTCCACGGGGCAATCAGATTCTGAAGCAGTGCAGCAGGGACAGAGATGTCATGTGCGAGCTTTGCCCTGAAGGCACCTTCTCTGAGAAAGCAAGCAACTCTGAACCATGTGCGCCCTGTCGGACCTGTGATCAGGATCAGTTTGTTCTGCAAGAGTGCCAAGTGACCTCTGATACGGTCTGCCTGAGTAAGGCCCCCTATTGGAATTCTGATTGTTGTCTTTTCTGGTTCAATCTGTAACTTCTTTTGGGCTGCACTCCCCTGTAAAGCACTACACGGTGACCTTTCTAAAAATATCGAGAATTTCTATGTCAGGCCAACCCCCATGGTTCTGGACATCCACTTGGTTGTGTGGAGGCAAGGGAGAATAGTGGAATTTTTAATCCTTTGATCCTGTGCCCAATCTATGATGCAACAATAAATGTTACCCAAACATTTTCATTTTAAAAGTTTGAGCCAATTCCCGACATCCGCAGCATTTTCAACACCTTAAACAGATTACATGTCAATTTTCTGTACTCCAGGGATCATAAACCAAGTACTACAAGACACTCAAAGACTTTGCAAACGCACCAAACTGCAATCAGAGTTTCATGCCAGGGAAGAGACCCTGGCTTGTTTCAGTTTTTTTTCCTCATCATGCTATCTTCACAATTGGCGTAAACTACATGTAATGTAGTCCTGTCCTTTAGACCTGTATCTTGTAGAATCATACACTACAGAAGAGGCCCTTCAGCCCATTGTGCCTGCACCGATAAAAACTAATTTGCCTTAGTCCTACTTTCCAACATTTGATCCAAGTACTATGTTAAAGTTGTGAATTCCTGCCACTGCTACCCTCCCAGGCAGTCCATTTCAGATTCCCATTGCCCTTTGGGTGAAATGAATTTTCATCAATTCCCCAAATCCTGCGGTCCTTCACTTTAAAATTATGCTCCCTAACTCTAATTCTACTGACCTTTCAGCTGAGGGGAACAGCTGCTTCCTGTCCATGCCTCTCATAACCTGATACACCTCAATCAGGTCCCTCTCAGGCTTCTCTGCTCCAAAGAAAACAACCTGAGCTTATGCAGCCTCTCTTTGTAGCCTAACTGCCCATTCCAGGCAGTATCCTGGTGAATTTCCCCTGCACTCCCTCCAGTGCAATCACATCCTTCATCTACAGACCTGCCACCTCCGTGAAAAAGTCAGTTGAATTTGTTAGGCATGGTCTTCCTCTGACAAAGCCATACTGACTCTCCCTGATCAAAACTTATCTCTCCAAGTGGAGATTAATTCTCTCCTTCAGGATTTTCTCCACTAATTTCTATGCCACTCATGGGAGACTCACTGCTCTAATTTCCTGGTTTATCTCTACCACCCTTCTTGAAAAGTAAAACCACATCAGCCGTCCTCCAGTCCTCTGGCATCTTCTCTGTGGCTAGAGGGGAATTAAAAATTTGGGTCAGAACCCCTGTAATATCCTCCCACAGCAGCCTGGGATAAAAGTCAAAAACATTTCCTACTTTTTAAGCCCAAAACCTCCTCACTCACTAAGTTAATTTTCTCAAGAATCTCACAGTTCCTCTTACCCCTATTTATATAATGCCTTTAGATTCTCCCTAATTTACCCATCAGTGTTTTGTCATGAAACTCTTTGCTCTCCTAATTGCTTTAAGCTTCCCCCTGCACTTTCTGTACTCCACTAGGACTGCCATTGATTTGTCCCCTTCTGTACTTGTTTAAAAGCCTCTCTTTCCCTTCATATTTAGTCCTGAATAGTCCTAGACATCCAGGGCTCTCTGGGCTTGTTGCTCCTACATTTCACCCTAAAGGGAACATGTTGGGCCTGTGTTTTTGCCAATTCTAATTTGAACACCCGCAGATGCACTTGCACTCTGGTAAACGTAGCTATTCACAGTCTACTTTGGCCAAATCCTGCCTCACTTTAATAAGATTGTGCACTCCCCCACCCAATACCAACCAAAAGAAAAACCAAAGCCCCCTTTTTTGCAGACTGTCTTTTCCCTTTTCCATAACAAACTTCTAAATCTGCAGTGTTGTGGTCACCATCACTACCTTGGACAGCTGTCTGGCTTCATTCCCCAGAATTAGTTCCAGAACTGAGCCATTCCTTGTAGGAGCATCTACATGTCAGCATGAAATGCTGTCCTGAATAAATTTACACAATGATTATGAGTGTGTAGTTTTCTGAACAGAGCCTATAATCACACCCTGGGGTTATTTCTTTTATCCAAAATGCTTCCTACATTCTTTCAGTTCCAGCATCTATTGTTTTGATTTTCAGCTCTGCTGTTTCTTAAACTTAGAATTGTTTGCAGTGACTTTGTTGCACAGTGGATCTAAAATGTAGCTTTCATTCCCTCCTACTTCCTGTTTAGGCAAAAACTCGTCACTGCTGAGGAGGCCAGAAGTGGAGCCAGTGAGAGATGACGCCAAGTTTGTAAATCCTGTGGAACCTGCATCTGGTACAGTCAACTTCACTGCTTACGATACAGGAAAGAACATCATTCCAGTTTACTTCTCCATTCTTGCAGCAGTCATCATGGGACTTGTGATCTACGTCACTGTGAAATGGTGAATTTTACAGCCGAATAACTTCAGATTAAGATTTTATTTCAGGGAAGGGCGAATGGCTCTTCACATTTTGTTACTGTTTGTGTCCTCCACCTCTGGAAAGGAAGGAAAGTCACCACCGAGTGTAAGATTGAGCTTCCAAAGGCCTGAAGTTTAATCCCTGGTCTGTCCTAAATACTTGGTTAGCAGCAGAGAAGAGGGAAGAGATCAATTTGGTGGGGAGGGGGATGGAAGTGAAGGTGAAGGAATAAGAGATGTTTAATTAACTCATGTAGTTTGATTTTGTGCTTGTGCTGTTGGGTGGATAAGCCTGACTACTGGTCTTGTCCCACTTCCTGTAGCTCTGCTTGTGTCTTATTACCCTCATGTGCTGCCTCCCTTTTATAAGCCAAATCCATCTCCTCTTTCCGAGACTCCAGTTGTTGACTCATTCTCATCTTCCTTTCACTCACTCTTCCTCATCATCACTTCTCACTTGCTCCTTTCTCCCCTTCCTGTTTTTCTTGCTGACTTTCTCACCCTCCTTGCTGTCGGCCCTTTCTGTTATTCTTGCTCGCACTTGCCCCACTCTTAGTCTCTCTGCTTTAATATCATTTTCCTCGCTCTTACACTTCTTTCTCTCTCCCTCTCTCTCCCCCTACAGCTGGAACACGTGTAAGCAGAAGAAGCAGCTGGCGAAGGCTCGAGCTGGTGAACTTGACGCGGGACCTGAAGGCGAGAAGCTGCATGGTGACAGCGGCGTGTTTGTTGACACCCACAGCCTCCATGAGCCACAACTCAGTAAGGGTATGACAGTTTGACAGTGACCGACATTGTCTGTGCTGTGAAAGTCCTTCAGTGCATTACCTGCTCATCAAAGTCTGTGTGTGCGGCTGCAGAGGCATCGTAGCCAGGCTCTGATCCCAATGTATGTTTAGTAAGAAAGTTAGGTGAGACGTTTAATCCTGGAATAGATTGAGCCACTGGTAGGAGCCTGCTTTCATGGACTGAAGGTTTCAGGATTAGATGTATGGAAAAAGTGGTGAAATAGTGGAGTGGCTTTGGAGTTGAAAGTAAGGAGTGCTGTTTCATGCACTCTCCTTTTCTCAGGTTCAGTTCTGCTTTCAAGGAAGAAGTCCTCCTTATGACCATGCAAGATGCCACGTGTTAGCTGCAACCTGGAATTTGTTCCTGGATACCTGCTGTTCTCTTTCCTATAAATAACCAAATCCCTCAGTTTAGATTCTAGCCTGTAATTCAATTCTAGGACAAAAACACAAATTGCTGGCAAAACTCAGCAGGTCTGGCAGCATCCATGGTGGGAAAGCAGAGTTAACATTGAGTCTGGTGACTCTTCATTGGTTTTGTTGGGTTTTGCCAGCAATTTGTTTTTATTTGAGATCTCCAGCATCTGCAGTTAGATGTTTCATTCACTCGTAGGCATGCTGTTTTCTGTCTCATCAGCCAGATGTCAGGTGTTGACACTCAATAGTGGTTCTTGTATAGACAACTAGATGTCTAACCAGATTTTGTTCTTTTTCTTCCCTCTCTCCTGTCAGTTGTTCATGTTGACCCATCCATGTACAGCAAGCTCCCACTGCAGAAACGCCAAGAGGTTGAACAGCTGCTCGATAGTCAGGATGGCACCCGACCTGACTGGCGCAGTCTGGCACGCCACCTGGGCTATGATGAGGAGCGGGTGGCCACCATTAGCCGTGGAGAGGACCCGGCTCACACGTTGCTGTCTGATTGGTCGATGAGGGATGGCGGCAGCTTGGATGTACTCTGCAAGGCATTGGGGAGGATGGAGAGGGAGGACATCGCAGAGTGTCTAAAATCGGAGTCAGCTGTGACCTCACTGTTGTGATGTAAGGAGCAGCGCCCACTCTCAGCACCCACCCTCACCCTCTTCAGGTGTTGAAGATTTTTCTCTCGGCAGAAGGGGGTCACCCCAGACTCAAAATGTGCTGAGTCTCTTCAACTTTTTCAATGAGAAAACGTCTTGACTGTAGCTAGGACAGAATGGTGAGACAATCGGTTTGGCTGTATGGGAATTGGAATGGAATTTGTGAAACTCAGTGGATGAAGTCTTGCCATTGGCCCACATCTTAGAATGTTTTGAGATGTGAGTTTTTTTTTTGTTTCATTTTTAGGTATCCTATGCATGAGCTGCGTGGGCAGAACAGTCTGCTCCATTTTACTGGTTTCTGTTTGCTCAATTTCTTCTCTTTGTAAGGTGCTGACAGTCTCCTCTGAGTGGGGTAAGCCAGGGTATTGGTAATGTTACTGTACTCTGAATCCAAGAGCTCTTGCCAAATATCTACAGGCATCAGATCAAATGTCAACATATCAGCTTGGGAGTTTAAATTCAATGAATTGACCTGGAATGAAAATGGTGACTGTGAAACCAGCAGATTGTTGTAGGATCCTGTCTGGTTCACTGTACCTGCTTGGGGAAGGAACCTTGACATCTTTGCTCGCCTGGTCTGTGTGTTTTCAGACCTACACCAATGTGCATGATTCTTCACTGGCCTCTGCAGTGGTCAGTGAGCCACTGATATATTCAAGAAGATAATTCACTACCAATTTGTCAAGGTTAATTAATTGGGAATGGGTATTAAATGCTGACAAAGCTCTGATCCTGTGAATTAACAAATTTTAAAATAAAACAGATCCCTTTTAGTGCCTTCACTCCACTACCTCACTTCAGTGACTTCTTTGTCTGGGATAGCATATGTCAGTGAACTCTTCAGCTTGAAATAGCATCACACTTAAGCCAGTTTTCTGAGATGACCAAAGACTGTTGTGGGCACTTCTCACTAAGGGATGGGTGTGTGCCTCTGGACAGTAAGGAAAAGCTTCATCCTTTGTCCACAACAAGAGAAAGGAATTTGTGGTTCTTAGCACCAAACTGGATTCAGATAGTTAATGTCATTTCTGGACCTCTGGCTTGGATGTCCAGTCAGTCTACAGTCTTGATCACACTCCTTGTGTACATGGGCGGTTTTAGTTGATTTTGTTGACTCCTAAACCAGGTTTGTATGGTTTAGGCGCTGTTCACTTAAAATAACTGCCTGTTGATTTGATTCCCTGCAAAACATCTACAGATAAAATGGCCAACTGAACAATAAGTCTGACTGCAAAAATAACTGAACCTTTGTGTTTATTTTACAAATGAGCTTTTTTTTTGGAATTGCAGCTCCACTTAAAATGACCGTGTCCTTGCTGGATGTGACACTGTAGCACCAGTCAATGCTGCATTCCAGCTTTGAAGCTGGAGAAGTGCTAATTTTGTTATCAAAACTACCTATGTTTTAAAGAAATGGGGGACAGATATTAGCAAATGTTCAGTCTCTTGCTGTCCTCCATTGCAGTTTGCAGTTTTATAGTGGCCCATGGGCTTTCTCCAGGTCTTCTGTACATGGTTCAAGATGTAAGTCACTGAGAGACATTAGCGTGAATGAGGCCAGGCAACAGGCCAGAAATCCTATCTCTGCCGTTGCCATGACACCCCACAACCAGACTGGCTTTGACTTGCACAGCATCCATTATCGTAGGTCTGAGCAACAACAATATCGTCATTTAATAAACAGTGTTCAAGATGCTGTTGCATTGTACAAACGTGATCAGATTTTCATCACTGTGGAGCTGAAATTGAAGAGGATGAAGTGACTGACCATGAAGCCCAGGACTGAGGCTGAAACTCTCCAGCTTGGAATCAACAGCTTTTCATGAGACACCAGCCTTTCCTATATGTTGACTTGTTTTGGAATGGCACATGAAAGCGAGTAGGTTAGTAGGTGATCTGCAGAGTAATTTCACCCGTCCGTACATGGTCTGAAGTCACACATGTTTGAGAACTATACATTAATAGAATGTTGAATGTGACCCTTTGAGTTGTAATATCTTGCAAAGATTTAGATAGGCTCCCACACAATATATGGTTATTTGGATGGATAGGGGATTGGTGGCTTTGGGGAACTATATTCGAAGGCCAAAAGAATGCAAGCAAAAACTGACTTTTAAGTCAGTAATTCTGAAAATGTAACTATTGGGGACATGGGTATGTTTTACTTTGGGAGTGGCAGGCTGTTGTAAAGTATTCGACTCTGCAGTTGGTGCATGATTCTTTAGTCTTACGTGACATGAGTTTGCAGGTCTCTCAATCTAGGCCCTGGTGAGAAAACAGCACAACTGTCCACAGACAGAACTAATACAACTGTGGGGTGACCTACTTAAAAGTGTGAAATGGGAAACAGAACAAATAGTTTCCAATTCCCAAAGATAATTGAGCACAATGCAACAAGAAGTAGAACTTGTGATAAGAACCAAAATAACTGCGGATGCTGTAAATCAGGAACAAAAACAGAAGTTGCTGGAAAAGCTCAGCAAGTCTGGCAACATCTGTGAAGAAAAAATCAGAGTTAACGTTTCGGGTCACCGGACCTGAAACGTTAATTCTGATTTTTTTTTCTTCACAGGTGCTGCCAGACCTGCTGACCTGTTCCAGCAACTTCTGTTTTTGTTCCTGTAGAACTTGTGATCCTTGGTTGACATTCACCCAGTGGAAATTTCGGGAGCATTGTTTGTGGGTGTTGCTCTGCTATGGCTAGATTTGAGAATGAAGTGTAGTGGAAGCTTTTACCCTGTGTTATTGCTTTCCCTGTGGCCAAAATAAAATCTTTACAGTGATCGGCATTGAATTTTGTGCTCTCAAGGTGGGCAAATCAAACACTCTTTTAAAAGAAATGTTAAGGCAGAGAAAATCAAAATGACTGCAACATTAACTAAAATGTCAACCGATGTCCAGCATTACAAAGTATTACCAATGATTTATTGTCTGTAATGCCAATTTAAGGCAAATCATTATCCTTGTATGTATCAGTGTACTTTTTATTGATAAAGTGTAAATGATAGACATCTGGGATTTTGAAAAATGAGGAATTGTCAGCTTTCTTTGGCTGATGTCTTCTTTTTTGGAACTTTCTCCTAAGCATGAAGAGATGCAGTTGAGGGGTTTTCTGCCCTGGAATTGTTGCAGACCGTTTAATCTTCATCTCATTGTGCTGTTATTACTTAATTGTGTTTGACAAAGAAATTTTATATTCTTTGAAATTATCTTCTCATTCCAAATAAACATTTGAAATACTAAGTTCCACCCCCTCCAGTTTGCTTGTGGTTTATTTTTCTTGTGCGTTAAGTAATGTGCTGATATCATTTATTTTCATGGAATAAGAAATGTAAACTTTCCCCTGCTCTTCCCCTCTCCTCTCCTCCCTCTTCTCAAAGGGGGTTCCACAGGCACCAGCTAGCCTCCACACAACTGTCCATTCTTTGTCATAATGATGTATTTGGTTGTGGAGCGTGTCGTTGTCCAGTCTGATCTGGTATAAATGTGGAAGTTGGGTGGGGGAGCAGGAGAATGACTCTGCATCTATAAATGGCTTACCCGAGTTTAGCACTGCTCCTGCTGAGGTTTCAGCTACTCTTACTGCTATACTGCTTGCCCCCATCCATCATTAACTGCAAACGAAAGATGGCTTTAATTGAGATCAAAGCGATTTTGAAAGAGAATGTGATACTCTGTGTAAGCAGAGCTTCAATGCGCTCAGATTTGCAGAGGTCAAAAGTGAAAGGCTGTGACATTCCGAATGGCATTGACAGTTGCTTTGTATGGAACACATTTACTGCTGGGTTTGGAAGGCCAGCTGGAGTGGCTGGAACACTTAGAACATTGCGTTTTTTTTTATCCTGTGTGATTGTGCGCTGAATACTTCACTCAAATGGGCAATTAATATGTGAAACTAGAGAGTGAACCTCAGACTGGCATCAAAGCGGAGTAAACGATCTTTGATTTGTATAGAGGTTGGGCAAACCACACCTCAAGAAGGATACAGTGGCCCAGGAGGAAGTCCTGTATAGATTCACCAGAATTGATAGCGATAAATCATTTCCTCTGCTGCAGTAATGCAGAGCAATGGGCACAGTTTTCAAATTGGAACCAGTTCATTTAGCAATCAATTCACAAAGCACATTTTCACAAACTTTAGTCAAAGTCTGGAGCTCCTACACTACTCAAACTGTACCCCCACTACCTTGGCCTTTTCTAGTCATGATTATATCCCATTAACAAACTTTTTTTTCAAAAAAATGTCTGTTAGAACACGTTACATCTCCAAGATTGAGATTAATTTTATTCAATGCAATTTTCAAGGGATATGGAGTGAAGGCAGGTATATAGTTAAGGTGCAGATTAGCCATGATCTCATTGAGTAGTACAACAGACATGAATGGCCTACTCCTGTGTGTAAATAAACATTACAGTCTGTGTGTTTTCCTCACTGACCTAGGGAACACTGACACTAAGTAGCATTCACGTTAATCTGCTGATTTTAACTGAAGTGGTTAGGATGGATGTCTGAGCTGTGATTGGTCCGAGTCTCAGAACAAGTTCAACATTTCCCAGTTAGGTCACTGGTAGGCACCAGCTGCTTCTACTTTGATGAGTGAAGGTACTTGTGTCCCAATGGTTCAACTATCAGATACATTCAATACTGCCTTAACTGAACACTGCAAGTGCAGTAAATAGATACAGGGTCCTGGGCTGAAGGAAAAATCAGCTGTGGTAGTGTATCAGCAGGAACATTCATAGGCTAACAGGAACATGTGAGACTTCTCCTAGTTGATCAACTTCCTGTTACGTTGTAGGTTCACACAAGCAGAACAACCACAGGTTGTTCAGATGTAAACAGAAAGGCTGCGTTTAGTCCTCTCAGGTTGCTGAGCACCTATTGAAATAATCACATCATGTATGACTGTTATTCCCTTAGACCCAGTCTGGATAACAAAGACAGATTGTCTCCTGTGAAGGATGGATATTAGTGATCCAGTTAGATTTTTACATGAGTTCAACAACAATGCTTCATGGCTTTTTTAAACACACTTACCATAGTTACAATCTCACAAGTTACCAACATCATAACAATCATGACTTGCATTTATGTAGCTCCTTGAATATGTAAAATATGGCAAGGCAATTGATGAGTGCAATCAGATAAAAGTTAATGCTGGACTAAGGAAAGAGAGTTTACCTGGGGGCAATCAAAAATGCTTGGTGCATGTGGGGAGGATTTGGATCTGAAAGGATAAGCAACAAGTGGAGAGGCCAAGGGAATTTCTGAAACTTGTGCTTCAACAGTGAAACACAGCAGCTAATGATGGGGAGAAAAGAAAACTGGAGTTACACAGGCCAGATTGGAAGAAAGCAGAGTTCAGATAGCTTCGTGTAGCTGGAGAAGAATATTGAGGAAGGGGTGGGTCTAGGCATTACAGGGACTTGGATGCAATGTAAGAAAATGTAAATTGGTACCACTAGTGAAACAGAAGCCAAAGTAGATCAACAAAGACAAAGTTGACGAATGAGTGGGATGGTTTACTGTAAGATATCAGAAGCTATTTCAAAACATTGACCCTGGCTAACAGAGTTCTCGGCAGAGAAAGATCATAAGATTTTCTATAGTGCTTTTGGTAATCGCAGGAAGTCCAAAAGCAATTTTGTAACAAATGAGGTGCTTTGAAGACCAACTGAGGCAGGGTGAAGCTGGTTATACATGTAGAAGGAAGTAAGTGTTTTTATGATGGAGGGAATATAAAGTTGGAACTTAGTTCCGAATCAAGTAAGATCCCAAGGTTGTGAACAGTTGCCTTCAGCCAGAGACGCTGGGCAGGGTGGAAAAGAAATTGTTAGCATTGCGTGTGGAATTTATTGCTGAAGACAAAAACCTTCGCATTTACAATCATTGGTGGAGAGCAGGTTGGTTCTCGAACTTGATATCAGACAAGAATTCTGACAATACAGAGACATTGGAAAGGTTGAAAGGTGATGGTGAGGCAGGGCTTGCAGTCATCAGCATACAAATGTGGAATATGAATCTAGTTTTCGGGTCATTTTGTCAAGGGCAAGATACAGATAAGGAAGACATGGGATCAAGGATAGATTATTATGAAATTCAGAGGTCACAATGTGGCAGTCAGATGGTTTGCTGTCTGTGTCAAAGGCTCCAGAATGATGATGATGGATAGTGCACCTCAGCTAAAGTCACTTGCAAGTCATTTGTGACTACAATTGAAGCTAACTCAGTGCTCTAACAGGATCAAAGCCTTACTGAAAGTCTTCAAACATTGGGAGTGAGAGCAAAGATTTGGAGAGGGAAGGAAAATTAAACGTGAGTGCAATGGGCAAGAGGGGTGAAAGGTGGGTGATAACAATAGTTGGGAATGGGAATTGTTGACCATATCGGCTAGTTGACATGGGGTCCTGAAGAAAAGTTGGACGGTCATCAGTTTAGTGAGAATTGAGGTCCAGGGAAAAGGAAGTGCAATTCACGGCCAAAATGAAAGCTACGGTACAGAATTGGTGTTAGCATAAGACTGAGGTGATGTCTGGCTTAGAAGACTAGTGGAAGGGGAAATCAAGCAGAAGTTCATTAAATATCTGTTTCACACTTCTTCATTCGTAGAATTTGAATTCACTATTTCAGGGTTTTACTTCGACATGAAAACCGTGAGGTTTGTATCGCATTTTACCCTAAGTGATGTTGCAGAACCTTACTGAGAAATGGAGAGCTGTAAAAGGCCGAGAGAAGCTCCAATACTGAAGGTGAGTCTGAGCCAGCTTTCATCTGACTTCCTAATCATCTCATTCCCTGCAGACATCTGCAAGGTTTTCACTGGGTAACTGGATGCCACAGCTTCAGGTTTCTTGACATGCGAGGTTAATCAAAAACTTTCTCGCTTTCCTTCCCTCATATTTGCATCCACATATTGGAGAGGGAATTTATTTTGGTGCTTTGACCTCCTGATGGAAAGTACTCCGATTCACGAGTGTGTGTTTGACTTCAAAGAAAGGATCCAGCCCAGTGTTGTTCTGTTCTGTGTAACTGACAAGAATAGTTGTGCCAATGTATATTTTCAAAGTCACTGTCAGCCTGGGAGGTCACTATGGTTTAATTACAATAAAATGATACATTCTTTTGTTCTCATTTCAAGAAGCACAACAGGGAAGAGATCACCCACTGTTATTGAATCAGCTCAGGTATAACACAGGCTTCCTTTACTCTGTCTCAGGGTAATTCTCAAGGCAGGTACAGGACAGGTCAGATACAGACCAAATCTCCTTTTGTACAGTCCCATTACATATTGTCAGATCAGGTACAATGTGGGTTAGTGCTAGGTAAATTGCTCAGCAGCAACCTATTGAGATTGAGTATTGCCTAGCTACAGTGTCAGACTTCCAAGGTGTGTGTCTGTCTCTAACAAACTGACCCCTGAACTCAATTACCTGGATCTTGAGTGTTGATCAGTTGGGCATTGAGGTGGAGGTGAGAGTAGGATTAATTGCTCTTTATGGTAGAGTCAA